CAGCCACAAGCCCTGCTGCCTTGCAGAGTGTGCTCTTCTTATGCAATGGGTAGGAGAAATAAACTCCGACTAAAAATTCCCCTGCCTTGAGGCTCTTGGTTGAGTAAAGGCTAGAGATGGTGTCTCGATAAAAACACTCATCTTGGGCAGATGTTAACTGCATCCAGCTAAACATCCCCTGCCTTGGGGCTCTTGGTTGAGTAAAGGCTAGAGATGGTGTCTCAATAAAAATATTCATCTTAGGCAGATGTTAACTGCATCCTGCTACTGTCTTGTAGAAGGCCTCCTAGGCAAAGATTTTAGGGGTAAGCAGAAAAATTCTGCTAACCAGCCTCGAACCCCTTCTTCATCTATTAGGCTAGCATAGATGTAACCTGTATTACATTGTTTCCTGCCTAAGATGATGAATGAATCATTAATTCCCCTATTTGTCATGAAATCAGGTTCGAATCCTTTGACCATTCTTTTATGTGCTTTCCCCTAGCACCTCTTCACTCTATCACCTTTCTCTTTGTTCTTTATTGTTCTCCTTCTTCCCATGATTGCACTCTTTTAGATGTTATCTCTGATCAAATTGACCATGCCTTCTCTCATTACCCCTCTGCCAATATTGTTGTTGTTGGTGATTTTAATGCCCATCACACTGAATGGCTTGGCTCTAACACCACTGATCCTGCTCGCACTAAAGCCTTTAACTTTTGGGTTTCTCAATCTCTTACTCAGATAGTTAACTTTGTGACTGGTTTTCCTGACAACCCTAATCATTTACCTTCACTCCTTGACTTATGTCTTGTCTCTGACCCTAGCTTATGTTCAGTTTCTCCCTTTTCTCACTTAGGTGGTTCTGACCATGCAATGATCTCTATAAATCTTTCTTCTCGTACTTCTTTTTTGGGCTCACCTTATCATCACACCACCTACTACTACCCTAAAGCTGACTGGGATTCCTTTCGTGATTTTCTTCTTGATGGTCCTTGGGCTGATGTTTTTTCTCTCTCAGCTGACAAATGCGCCTCCTACATAACCTCCTGGATTCAGGCTGGAATGGAAGCTTTTATTCCTTCTCGTCGGTTTCAAGTCAAGCCTCATTCTACTCCATGGTTTTCTCCTTCTTGTGCGGCTGCTATATCCAATCGTAATCATTTTTTTCATCTTTTTCAAAAGAACAACTCTCTTGAGATCAAACGGCTATTTATTATTGCAAGAAATTGATGTAAAAAGGTGCTTTCTGATGCTAAACTCCATTACTCTCAGTTCACTAAATCTCGCATCTTATTGCAGAAGTTAGGCTCTAAAGACTTTTGGAAAATCTTCAACAGCATTGTTAACATAGGTAGACCTAACATTTTATCTCTCATTCATGGGACTGATCTTGTTACCTCTCCCAGGGATAAGGCAGAACTGTTTGCAAAGAACTTTTCTTCTAATTCCACTCTTGAATCTTATGGACATTCTCTTCCTTCCATTCCAGTCAAACAGGTTGACCCATTGTTAGACATTCAAATCACTCCGGCTTCTGTTGCTAAAGTCATATCTCAATTAAACTCGTCTACAGCTTGTGGTCCAGACAACATTCCTGTCACAGTCTTGCAGAATTGTTCTCCAGAACTATCTTCAATTCTCTCTAAACTATTTAACAAGTGTTTGACTGAGTCTTGTTTTCCTGCTTGTTGGAAAATGGCATCTGTGGTTCCAATATTCAAAAACTCTGGAGAAAATTCTGACCCCTCCAATTATTGTCCGATCAGTCTTCTTTCTGTTATTAGCAAGGTCTTTGAGTCTTTGATCAACAAATTTCTCACATCTCATCTTGAGTCAAATAAACTGCTGTCAAACAATCAATATGGTTTTCGATCCTCTTGCTCTACGGCCTACTTGCTAACTGCTGTAACTGAAAGATTTTATCGTGCATTAGATGGAGGCGGTGAGGCTAGGGCTATTGCTCTCGACATATCTAAAGCTTTCGACAAAGTTTGGCATGCTGGTCTTCTCCATAAGCTTGCTTCATATGGTGTTTCTGGGAAAGTTTTTGAGATTATCAAATCATTTCTTTCTAACCGGTTTATTAAAGTCATCCTTGAAGGCCAACACTCTTCTTTATTTCCAGTAACATCTGGGGTTCCCCAAGGTTCCATCCTGGGCCCTGTTTTATTTCTTATCTACATAAACGATCATCCTGACAACCTTTCATCTAAAGTAGCTCTTTTTGCTGATGACTCAATTTTATACTCCTGTCTTGACTAAAAGTCTTCTCTTTTCGATCGCCTAGAACAAGCAGCTGATCTTGAATCTGATCTCACTTCAGTAATAGATTGGGGTTCACAGTGGCTTGTGAATTTCAACTCTAAAAAAATCCAGTTGCTTACTGCAAACAACTACCGTAATATGGTCAACATTCCTATATTAATGAATGGCAATCCTCTTACTGAGTCCTCCTCTTTACGTCTTCTTGGATTATCGCTTACTACTGACCTTTCATGGAAACCATATATACAATCGATTGCTAAATTAGCTTCTGCTAAGGTTGCTTCTCTTTATCGTGCTCGCCATTTCCTTACTTCTGATTCCATTCTCTACCTTTACAAATCTCTTATTCGTCTCTGTATGGAATATTGTTGTCATATTTGGGCTGGTTCTTCTAACGATTCACTTTCTCTTCTTGACAAGGTCCAAAAACGCATTGTAAATGTTGTTGGACCTGGACTATCTGCTAAGCTTGAACCTCTTTCCCATCGTCGTAAAGTTGCATCTCTTTCTCTTTTCTACAGATAATATCATGGTCACTGCTCAAAGGAGTTATCATCTCTAATTCCATCAACTAAAATTCATTCTCGTTTTACTCATCATTCAGCGAAGTCTCATTTGTTTACTGTCTCTGTCCCTGCATGCTCTAAAAACTTTTATTCATCTAGTTTTTTTCCCCGCACTTCAATCCTTTGGAACTCTCTCCCATCTTCATGTTTTCCTGACTCATACAACCTTCAACTTTTCAAGTCTTCTGTCAACCGTTTCCTTGCTCTATAACTCTGTTCTTTTTTTTCCTAGTAACTCCCAACTTAATAGTGGTTGCTTGCAGCCTTGTTGGGAGTGAATGAAAATAAAAAAAAAAAAAAATGAGTGCAGGAGCTATAAATAGCCTATCTAAAATAAATTTGATAGGCTACAGGGGCTACCCCCAACATTTTGCACAAGCTTTTTCTTAGAAATTTAAATTAATATTTTTTAATGATAATTTATGATACCTCAGCTGAATTTTTTTTTTCCTTCAAAATTAAAACTTTGACAAGCACTATAATAACAAAAAGGAAAACTAAAAATTGTTAAAAAAGACTTTTTTTCTCATATTTAAAGTAATTTAACTTTTAATAAATGAGTTGAATACTTGTCAAGTTAAGTCTTATAATTTTTCAATGTTACTTTTTGTTTTTGCTTAGAGCTATTATATTATATTTATATGAACTTAATTTTGTGTATATTCTATCACATTGACCTTTTGATGTATTTAAAAAACAAATAGGCAATATCGATTGAATAACAGACTGTAAATTTAATATACATGAGAAATTAATTTTCAGAAGCATCTTTATACTTTTAAATAGTTGCATTCATATTAAACATTTACATGAAAGATATATTTCTAAACACATCTATGCTTTACTTTCCTGCTGTAAATTTAATGTTGTTTAAAAAATATTATTTTGGTTTAAATTAATTTTTTTCAAATAGTTTAAACCATTTGGTTTAAACCTATCAACACTGGTTTTAATATACATGGACATTTGATTCATATTATTTTAAAATCAGTGGCATGCTGGTTCCAAAAAGTACACTGGGGATTTTTCTAAAAAGACCCATAAAAATCAATGGGTAATTTTTATCACCCAACGGTTATTAGCCAAAACAATATTTGTATCAATTTTTTTTTTTTTAATATAAAGTAACTGAACAATAGACAATCCAGGAATTATATAAACGTCATTGATATTATTATTAATAAATACCAATTTTAGTTTGAAATAAAAATTTACCTAATAATTTGAAAACTAAAAATTAAATTAAAAAGATAAAACTTTTAATTAGTCTATCGCCAATTTCTTTTGTTTTGAAAACTATATCTTTATGTATTCAAATAGCATAATTTTTTTAAATAATTATTTAATTAGCGATAGTATTTTTTTTTCCAAAAATAGATTTAGAAATAGAACTTTTTAGATAAATAATTTTTTTAAATCATTTTTTACTATTTTGAAAATACTTTGACCAAATAGAAAGATTAAGTAAAATTAATTTAAGGTTTCTATGGTTAATACGGTAATAGAGAAAACAAGCAATAACTAAATTTAAAACTAAATAATTTTGATAAAATGTATTAGTTAAAAAAACTATATGATCTCAAATGTCTTCATCTGGATCACTAGAAATGTCTGCATCTGGATCATTAGAAGAAATAGAAATTGCTGTATTTGGTTGCTGATACCAAAACACTTTGTCCAATTATTAAAAAAAAAAATTATAATATTGAACTAAATCACATCTTATTCTACTGGTTTTTAATATAGTTAGATGAAGTTTTTTTGACCTTGCTTCATAGGGAAGATACTTTAACTCTGAAATCAATTTAGTTGCTTGTCGATGAACACTTTCTAATTTTGGTATATAATTTTTGTTACAAGGTTTCCATATCAGTGATGCATCTTCAAGACTAGGTCTTACAAAAGCAGTACAAAATAGGGTTAAATAAATATTTTAAACAAGATTGTGCATTGTTTTCAAAGAAAAAAGTAAAATTAGTTTTTTCTTCCAAATGGCCCTTATAAGATAAAAAGCTTACAGTGCATGCAAAATTCCTGCATAGCCTCTGCACACCGTTATTTAGAATGTAAAGGTGCAGTTAGTACTACTTGAGACAAATGAAAAAAAATTTAAGGTTGTACTAACTGTTTTATTTCAAAAATGTTTACAAAATGTATCATAACTTTAAGAGAATACTTCATACTTACAGTGTCACAATATCTGCATGAGTGTTGCCCAAAGCAATCATTAGAGGGTCCTTTAAATAAATAACATTATAGTTTTAAAGTAAATAAATTAAATTAGTTAACATTCTAAGTAAATAAAAATATAAAATTTAAATACTAATATAAAAGTAAATATAAAGTAAATAAATGATAATGTAATGTAAATAAATAAATTTAGAAGTAACATTAGAGGGTTCATAACAATGTAAAGAAGAAAAAACCTTTCCATCTTTGTCTAGTGACTTCTGATTAGCATCGCGTTTTAAAAACAAACAAGTGTGCCTTAAAGAAAATCATTATAAAACTTGTACACTTCTAATTTCTAAATTAGATAAGATAAACAATATAGATAATTTGTAAAAATAATGATAACAAATATAACTTTTGTTTTGATATTTAAAAAAAAGTTTTTGCAATATAGAATTAATGCATTTAGAGTAAATAGATTAAAAAATGTAAACAATTAGGATTAAATATTGCAATTGCAGAGTTTAGGATTTATAAATACTTGATGACAAAACAATGTTATCAAAAAAGATGGAAAAATATTTTTTTAGATACAAATTGTTAAATTAGGATTTCTCCACAAAAGAAATTAGTTGCATACATTAAATCATGACACTTTTTGCAGAAAGTTAAAATTTTATTTTTATTTTATTTTCAAAAATTGATTATTCATTCAATGATCAAAAATTTGTTGCTACTTTTATTTTTCAAAATTTAGACCAGAGAAGGTTAGTTTAAGGTTAGACCAAAGAATATTAGACTATGCTTTGATGTTAATGGTTGTCAGGGCTTAAGCCATAAAATAGAAAGTAGGATAAATGAATAAAAATTACTTACATTACAAGGTCTGTTAATTACAGGGTTTATGCTTGATGATATATGTGATATAAACAGCTTTTTGATTAGGAAATATATTCCTCATATTTTTTTTTTTCATATTTCTCAGATTTATGTTTCGCAGATTGAAGAAAAAATACATCAAATAAAAAATATTTTTAAGTATACTGGTAGTGAAAGTAAATAATTATGATGCCAAATTGTAACTAGGTGTTATATAATCTGGGTTTCGGACATGTCTTAATCTGGTTTTGAATATGTCATAATCTGCATATTGATACTTAATAATATCTGAATAGAAAAGTAAAAATATTTTCTGTATGAATGCTCTATATTTTTAATAATGAAAAAAATATATATAAAATGACATGCAAGTGTCTATTTAAAAAAAGTTAGAAAAATCATGTAAAAAATGATGCAGGTTTGTTATGATTGGGAAGAGAAAAGAAAAAGAATCTGAAGAAGTACAAATATATTATAAAACATTTTAGGATTCAATGATCAAATCCAACATTTTATTTTGTTTTTTAATAATAAAAAAAACACCCTTGCATGATATTTTATAGTTTTACTTAATTAAAAAAAAGCAAAGCGCAAAAATCTGAAAAATATACTTCCTAATAAAAAAAGTTGTATATATCATTATATGCTTACAACAAATCCCTAGAACACTTTTTGGAGTTATGATTATATACATATGGCAGATTAACTTAAAAAAATATCAAAATCTTTTGATTTTGTCCAAGACTTAACTTATTAGCTTTCCCTAAAATACAACTAAAATTAGCAAGATTCAAAAATTCAAGGAATTTGAGTTGTTGTATTCTTTGGATTTGCTTTTATTTAATCTAATAACAGTAAACAACAAGCCTTATGAGTTTTGCACTAAAATTTCAATTATTTATTAAATCAAGCACATATTATATCAAAATATTTAAAGTAATTTTAGTCATATTTGCTCATATAGAGTTGTTAATAATTACAGACATTATTATTTAGATACTGATTACTTATTCATTGCAAGAATATTAGGAGATTACTATAGTTTTGTAGACTAAAAAAAGTTTTTGTACCCTGTACTACCATATAAAGCAGCATAATGAAGTGGAGTTTGATTAGACCTGTCAACTGCATTTAAATGAGCACCATTTTGAAGTAAAAACTCGCTGATTGTCACAGAACCCTAAAAATAAAAAGAACTGCTTGAATTAACAATTCATTTAGCAATATAAATTTTAAAAAAATTTTAACTAAAAAAAAGAAAAAAAGTGAGACTAGACTGCTATACCGATATGACAGATTCATGAAGTGCTGTTCTCAAGTCGGAATCAAAGTTACGCCAATTCACGTCAGCACCTATGTATGATTCAAATAGAAAACATCTTAAATTAAAAATTCAAGTCAGCACCTATGATTCAAATAGAAAACATCTTCAATCAAATGGAAAAATATAATCATTATAAAAAAATATACTATTTTTGAGCATTTAAAAGTTTGCAATATCTTAATCACTTTATTTCAAATATTTATCAGAAATTTACAACCTTTTGACAATAGTGAAAACACATTTCCTAAAAACCCCTTTTGAAATAAATGGACATCTTTAAAAATTTACATCATAGTTGTTTGTTGCAATAATTACATTTAAAGCATGGATTTAAATTATAACATTAAAAATGTAATATAAACTATTTATAACTAAATATATACCATTTGCAAATGCATAAGCAATAAGAGAAATATCTTTGATCTTCGAAGCTCTGTATAACAGCTAAATAATATTCGTAAAGAAAGATTAACTTAATAAATATATACAAATATTGTATCTTATGCAAACCAAAAACTCTACTTAAAAATCTATATCTATAATATGATATTATTTCTACCTGCATTTTTTTAGTAAACTAAAAAATTCCTTTATACTTTATTTTTTTTAAATAAAACAAAATTTTACAACTTGCTTTTTTTATACTAACTCCTTTTTTTTAGAAGTTGTAAAGACTTATAAAAAAACGAATCAAACATACTAAGTTAGGATGAAGACTGTTGAGATTTTCTTCTTTATTGCTTACACGACTGATATTGGCTGATATAGAAAGACTAATTTTTTTTTTCTCATCCACTAGGTTTGCATTCAAGTGAGCATCATCAGTGCTGTCAATAATTTCTAAAGAACGAGCTCTAAGTTTTCTTTTTATTAACTTGCCTCGCTTTAAACGTGTTTGACAAGGAGATTGCATTGGACTTATAAAAAGCTTTTGCAAATACTTGGCATGGATCCAAATTTCTCGTTCTGCTCTAAAATAAAAATTGCAGAGCATGTATCAAAAGAATGTGAAACATTAGAAATATATTAAAATACACAAACAACTTTATCTTGGAACTAACCTGACTACCTGGTTAGAACTTGTTAGATAATCAAAATGTACCTTGTACTTAGTGCTAATGGTTTATGATGATTGGAATCAACATTGGCCTCATAGATGTTGTTTACCACCTCATTACCAAGCTCTAACATCAGCTTATAAATAGAAAAAATTTATTAATAACTAATCTGTCAATTTGTTTTACAAAAAAAGAATTTTTTTTACAGAAAATGTTTTCTTGTATTTATAATAATATAAAAATGTATTATGGCTGTTACTATTATTGTTGCTACGGATAATCTATTGGGCTTTTATGAAAAATATAATTCCAACTTTTGATTACTTTTAAAATGATTAGATCAAAGCTTATGTTACTTTATAAAAGTGTATAAAATGATTAGATCAAAGCTTATGTCACTTTATAAAAGTGTATAAAATGCCATTCAACTTAAAAAAAGTCAACTAAAAAAATAGATTATTACTTTTAAACACAATTCAAACATAATACATGAGTGGAAATCTAAAAATTTTATTATTTGGTAAAAAAATTTCATAAAACATGGAGTTGCACCCTACCTCATCAAATTTGCTAAAATTTGTCACAAATGTTTAGAAATGTAAGTTAGGAGGGAGTTATATTTATTTATATAGGAGGGAGTTATACCAACTCAAGGCAATACAAATCCAGAAAACCCATTTAATAATGATAATTAAAAAAGGACATTGACAATTACAGCTCTATAAAAGATCTGATTGATAGAAACAACTTTTGATGTTGATTTTCTTTAAGATTAGATGTATATCTACTTTTCAAACAAAATTTGTTTTGGCCTTTCGTTTTGTTGATGATGCTTTTGTTTTTCATTTTTCCTAAAGAATTTTAGATGAAAAAAATCAGCAAATGCATTTTGATTGAAACAATTGTAAATGAAATTAAAGTTAGTTGACTAAAAAAACTGTTTTTTTTTTTTAGTCACTAGAGTATGTAAGCAATTACAAAATATTGTGCAACATTTTAAGTTATTACAAAATATTGTGCAACATTTGTTAGTTGACTAAAAAAACTGTTTTTTTTAGTCACTAGAGTATGTAAGCAATTTTTTTTTGTGAAAAGTTATTACAAAATATTGTGCAACATTCTAAAAATTTATCATTTTGTTGCTTAAGTTATTTTCATTACATAATAGTTATATAGTGCTGATTCCTATATCTAATTACTTTTATTTTATAACTGTTTCTTTTATTATTAATTTCTTTTATTAAATTGTATTACTCTTATTTAAATAGATATTTTTTTTTTTTTTTTTTTTTTAACATCTTCACTTCCAACAAGGCTGCAAGCAACCACTATAAGAGTTGGAAGTTACTGGAAGAGAAAAGACTAAATCTGTAGAGCAAGATAACGATTGACTGATGACTTAAAAGATTGCAAATTATATGAATCAGGAAAGCAAGATGAAGGAAGCGAATTCCAAAGAACTGATGTTCGAGGAAAAAAACTAGAAGAATAAGAGTTTTTGAAGCACTTAGGAACAGTCACAGAAAAAGGATGAGACTTAATTGAATGGCGAGTAACACGAGAGTGAATTTTAGTAGATGGCACAAGGGACGCTAGCTCTTTAGAGCAGTGCCCATTATAGTATTTGTAGAAAAGAGAAAGAGAAGCAACATTACGACGATGTGATAAAGGTTGGAGATTGGCTGCAAGAGCAGGTCCAACTATGTTTACAATTCGTTTTTGCACCTTGTCTAAAAGAGAAAGAGCATCATTAGAAGATCCGCCCCAGATGTGGCAACAGTATTCCATACAGGGACGGATTTGAGATTTATAGAGATAGAGAATAGAATCTGGAGTAAGAAAGTGTCGAGCTCGATAAAGAGATGCAACCTTAGCAGATGCTAATTTTGCAATGGATTTGATATACGGTTTAAAAGAAAGATCAGAAGTAAGAGTTAATCCTAGAAGATGAATGGTAGATGACTCATCTAGTACATTACCATTCATAAATATAGGAAGATCTAAATTATTACGATAACGATTGGCCGAATAAAATTGAGTTTTATCTGAATTAAAGTTCACCAGCCACTGTGAGCCCCATGCTGTAGCAGAAGTGAGATCCTTTTCAAGCTCAGATACCCCCTCCAAGCAATCAGAGAGTGTAGGCTTCTTATCATGACAAGAGTAAATGGTAGTGTCGTCAGCGAATAATGCCACCTTAGATGTGAGAATATCTGGAAGATCGTTAATGTAAATTAAAAAGAGTATAGGGCCAAGGATTGAACCTTGAGGAACCCCTGAAGTTACAGGATGTGAAGAAGAGTGTTGTCCATCGAGGACAACTTTTATACTACGATTGGAAAGAAAGGACTCAATAATCTTAAAGACATTACCAGCTACACCATAAGAAGAAAGCTTATGGAGAAGACCAGCATGCCAAACTTTATCAAAAGCTTTAGAAATGTCAAGTGCGATAGCCTTAACCTCTCCACCTCTATCTAATGCACGGTAAAACCTATCGGTTATTACTGTTAGCACATCAGCTGTAGAACGAGAAGACCGAAATCCATATTGATGATCAGAAAGTAAGTTATTTGATTCAAGATGAGAGATTAAGTGTTTGTTGATTAAAGATTCAAAAACCTTGCTTATGACAGGAAGAAGACTAATGGGACGGTAGTTAGATGAATCAGATCGCTCTCCGGAATTTTTGAAAATAGGGATAACAGATGCTGCTTTCCAGCATGATGGAAAACAAGACTCTGATAAGCACTTGTTAAATAGTTTAGAAAGTATGGATGAAAGCTCCGGAGAACACCTCTGCAAAACTACAACAGGAATGTTGTCAGGACCACAAGCTGTTGAAGAGTCTAAGCAGGAAATTACTTTAGATACAGAAGCTGAAGTGATGCGAATGTCAAGCAAGGGATCAACCTGTTTGACGGCTATGTCAGGTAAAACGCAACTAGTGGAATCAAGAGATGATATTGATGAAAAATTCTTAGCAAACAATTCAGCTTTGTCTTTAGGTGAGGTGACAAAGTCTGAACCATACAAGAGAGAAGGAATAACAGATTTGCCCTTATTATTGATACTGTTAAAGATTCTCCAGAAGTCTCGAGAGCCTAATTTTTGTGATGAGATACGAGATTTAATGACCTGGGAATAGCGAGCTTTGGCGTCAGACAAAACCTTTTTACAATGGTTTCTGGCGATAGTGAACAGATGTCTGTTTTCTGGAGAATTGTTTTGCTGATAGATATGGAAGTAACGGTTTCGATTAGAAATTGCTGCAGCGCAATGTGAGGAAAACCAAGGAGAAGAGTGAGGCTTGACCTGGAATCGTCGAGAGGGAATAAAAGATTCCATGCCAGCCTGAATCCACGAAGTTATGTAAGAAGCACATTTGTCAGCAGGAAGACGAAAGATTTCTACCTAAGGGCCATCACGAAGAAAATCACGGAAAGAGTCCCAGTCAGCTTTAAGGTAGTTGTATGTGGTACGATGATAGGGGGATTCTGATGAAGTAGAAGAATTTGATAATAGTTTTAGAGAGATCAAACCGTGATCAGAAGTACCTAAGGGTGAATGTGGAGAAATTGAGCACTGACTAGGATCCAAAACAAGACATAAGTCGAGTAGAGAAGGTAAATGATTAGGGTTGTCTGGAAAACGAGTTGGAAAGTTGACTATTTGAGTTAGAGATTGAGAAAGGCAAGAGTTGAGGGCCTTAACGCCAGCAGAGTCACTGACACTAGAGCCAAGCCAATCGGTGTGATGGGCATTAAAGTCACCAACAACGACGATATTGGCCGATGGATAAAGAGAGAGGGCTTGGTCAATTTGATCAGAAATAACATCAAGAATAGTGCAGTCTTGGGATGAAGGAGAGCGATATAGAACAAAGAGAAAGGCGATAGAGTGAAGTTGTGCTAAACGAAAACACATAAATGAATAGTCTGTAGATTCAAACCTAGTTTCACGACAAATGGGTGAGTTCTTACGAATGTAGATGCCCAGGCCAAGCATGTGATTATTGGAGTCTTTACGAATTAAAGGAAGATAACCATCAACACTAAGATCACAAGATGGGACAGCCGAACTCAAATTAGTCTCACAAAGAGCAAGTAGGTCTGGTGAACTTTGCAAGAGATAAGACTCAACAGAAGAAAAGTTACTTCGAAGACCACGAATATTAGTAAATGATAGGTTTAGAGAACTTGGTGATGACAATGGTTTTTTGTGTTTTTTAGTTTTAGGTACTTTAGTCATTTTAAATTTATAAAGAACTTGACTCAAGTATAGATAGTACTCAGTACACTATTTAACAACTAAGCAATAGCCTCAATACTATTAATAAACCCTAAGCCGTAACAAAGGGCTCTAAATGTGGCCTCTGCAATGCACACCAAAAGTACAAACAGGGACACCATCCATGCGCAACATGGCACTGTTAGTACTCTGATATTTTTCGGCTGTTGATGGAATCAGCCTCTCTGAGAGCTACCACAGAGTTCGGGAAACCTGACTACCAGCCGGCCTCAGAACCATAAAACTGAGTTTTAGAGCTGTACCCTCATTAGGAGATAATAGAATGAGTTGCCCAGTCATAAAAATAGAGACACAAGCAATACCCACGCATTGAGTCAAGAAGATCCAGCGTTCAAAATCCTAAACTGGAAACAATGTATTAAAAATACATCTGCGCCAGCCTAATAGATGAGGAAGGGGTGCGAGGCTGGTCAACAGATAGAATCTGTTTACCCCTTAAGTCTTTGCCTAGGAGGCCTTCTACAAGACAGCAGCTGGATGCATGTAACATCTGCCCAAGATGAGTATTTTTATCGAGACACCATCTCTAGCCTTTACTCAACCAAGAGCCCCAAGGCAGGGGGTGTTTTAATTCGGAGTTAACTTCTCCTAGCCTTTGCCTAAAAAAGCGTATCCTACAAGGCAGCAGGACATGGAGCAGGTTGTACTGGGTTACATGTTACCAGTAGCAGGAAAACCTGACCTGACCTGACTTAAATGTACAAGATTCAAAGTTATGTACAAGATTCAAAGTTTTGCTGTGCGTGATTCATATAACTTCTTTTCCGTATAGGTTGATATTGCACATTCAATATTTTTGAAAACATCTGTATTACCAAGTCTGAT